TTTTTTTTATAGAGGCATGTTTCATTTATTTATTTATTTAGTTTGTTTGTTTGTTTTTTGTTTATACATGCACTGGGTACAGTCAGAAGCGCAGGAGGGTGAGAGAATTCACCAGAGCCAGAGTGGGGAGCAGAGCAGGCAGAAGGACTGAAGTACACTGCTGAGGGGAGCAGCGGGCGGCAGGAGAGGTCTGCGCACCATGTGGGATCCTCCTCCGGTGGCCGGGGAGCAGCCGGGGATCGAACCGGCGCCGCAGAGGCCGCGGGCAGCTTCGCAACCCAGCGCTCAACCGCTGCGCCACCAGGGAGGCCCAGGCACATGTCATTTTGGATAGTACCATTCTTAAGGAATAGGAACTTTGAATACTTGTCTATTTTTTTTTTTTTAAAGATTTATTTATTTATTTATTTATACAAGCACTGGGTACAGTCAGAAGCACGGGAGGATGAGAGAATTCACCAGAGCCAGAGCAGGGAGCAGAGCAGGCAGAACGACCAAGGTACACTGCTGAGAGGAGCAGCGGGCGGCAGGAGAGGTCTGCACGCCACGTGGGACCCTCCTCCAGTGGCCGGGGAGCAGCTGGGGATCGAACCGGCGCCACAGAGGCTGGGGGCAGCTTCGCAACCCAGTGCTCTACTGGTGCGCCACCGGGGAGGCCCACTTGTCTATTTTTTAAGCAATTGCTCCTCGGTATAACTAAGTGCTCAGCATCTCAATACATCTTCATTGAATGAACAGAACAAATTGCTTTCAAAGCATTTTAGGAAAATGGGATACTCACTGTATATATATCTAGATAAAGATTGAATATTAATCACATTAGGGCATAACATAGTTTTTGATTGTGTGACTTTTATAAATAGGGTGAGGGAGGAGGAGGAAAGAAAATGGGGAAGGAGAACGCAGTGGACTGTGGTGGAGGATTATGGGAGCTTGGGTGGTGGGAAACTTATGGTTGACCACATCTGAGGGGAGAAATCCTATATTGTGAAAACACAAACGAGGATATAAAATAGTGGCATGTCATTAGTAATAATTAAAAATGTGTAAATATTTCCATGCAAAAACTATTATTTTTAGTGAATGAATGGAAACACTTTCTGTCTTACTAATTTCCATGCAGAATCTCTCATTGAAGAGGCAAAGAACCCCTAGGCTACAATGGAGGTACCTCCACCTGGTTACTCTTGTGTCTTTCAGTAGTGATTGCCTATGAGCCTTTAGCAGTTCAGCAGACTCAGCTTTCCTTTGCTTTTTTAAAAAATAATTTTATATTTTATATAATTCTTACATCATTTTTCATTTTTGCACAATGTATGCATTTTCATTTTGGTTATATTCCCCATTTCTTTCAGATTTTTCTGAAGAGGCTGGCGATAAGCTCCAGAGAAATGCATTTCTTTTGGTTTCTCCTCTATGTCACTGTTGTTTTAGTGGCTTTTTGTTTTTTTCCTTCCATATCTCCCTGGCCTCTAAATATTGTAGTTAACTTGACCATTTAGGTTGTGGCTTATGCTAGAATGTGTATGACTTGATTGATTGGCTATGACTGTACCAGAAAGAGTAAAGAATGATTTCCAAGTTCTGAACAGCTGGGTTAGATGGTGGTGCCATTTGCTGAGAAAAATACAGGAGGAAGAAGAGGAATGTAGTTTAGTTTCAGAAATATTGAGTTTGAAGGGTCTGAAGGTTATCCAAGTAGGTAATACATATAATATTCACTTCTACTTAAGAAGTAGCAAAGAAATCTGGGCTAGAGGTAAAGATTTGAAAGCCCGAAGTTTACGTCAATAGATGGTGACTGAAATCACAGGCATTCATGGGATCCGTCAGGGTAGTATGTGGAGTGAGAAGAGAAGAATCAAAAGAGAATGAATAGGTCAGAGGGTTGCCAGATATAAACATTGAATAGTTGAACCAAAAAGTACCTGTGGGGGAAAAAAAATACAACATAAAACCTTCCCCTGATAAAGAGAATCCAAATTTAACCCAACCTAAAATGTTGGATGGGTAAATACTAACGTGGGACTTCTTCCCAGAAAACTGGAGGCCTCAGAACCTACAAAGGAGAAGGATCCTACAGGCACACTCTATTCCCTTCACCTGTCCCCAAATGAGGAAGACTTGTCACCTTCTCAAAAGAGAAAATCCTTTCCGCTTCCCTCTAGTGAACAGTTCCCTCCTCAGAAGTGATTTGCCTCTCCCTCCAGCAACTGGAAAACATTTCTATCTTCTGGATGACTGTTTAAGTCTGGAAGAATATCATCCATCACAACCCTTGTTTCTAAGACAGCATTGAGAAAGTATGGTCAGTAAGTAGAGCGGGAAAAGCACATGGCTTTGATTGTTCCTTTGGAATTTGACTGGAAAGGGACATTAACTTTTTTTTTTTTTGGAGGAGGCCCATGCCTTCATCTCCACTTGCCTGGAAAATACCCAGATCTGGACTTAATGCTAATAGCAAGGAACGGCCTGGGGCACACCATTGAGATGGAGTGTCTTCTGTGGGAAGGAGAGAGGATACCAGTGGTCTGACATCCTGTGCTGGTGAATGTCTAAGGGGACACCTCAACTCAACCTTCTGCACACGCATGAACATGAGACTTGAGATACAGGGAGTTGCTATGGAAATAGCTATGGAGCATTTGGCCCTACTAACAGACCAGCAGCATAGGGAAATGGTGACCATACAATGTGAAAGCATGGTGTGAGAGTTTATATGTAGAAGGAACTTTTTCTTTTCCTGGAGACCAGGTTGTATTTGAATCTTGACAGGGGAATGGTAGGTAAGTGGTGTGTGTAAGAGAATATTCCAGGCTTAGGGAAGAGCAGCTGCAAAGGACAGATTCCTTTGGTGCCCTTTTCTTAGAGATGTGTTGTCCGTCCTCTTTTATCTTTAACCCAGAAGAATACGACTCAGTCTATGCCTTACTACAGTTATCTGCAGAAGAAGCAAACAAAAAATATTGTGGTAACTTGAGGCTTACATTTCTCTTCTATTGGTGCATAGTAAATCACCAAAACTTGTAGTTTAAAACAATGTGGATTTATTATCTTACAATTTTTGTGGGTCAGAAGTCTGCAGTTTAACAGGGTCTTCTATAATACTGCAGTCGGCATTTGTGTGTCATCTGTATGCTCTAGAGAAGGATTTATTTTCAAGGTTACTGATATTGTTGGCAGAATTTATTTTCTTAAGGATATAAGTGAAGGACTCATTTTCTTGTCAACTGGAGACTGGGCATTTTGCCAGAGGCCAGCTAGAGGCTGCCTTCAGTTACTAGAGGCTGTTTTCCGAATATGGCACCTTGCTTCACAAAGGTTAGCTAATGAGGGAAATACTCCAGCAAGATTGGTGTTACCATTTTATATGCTGTAATAATGTAATCATACAATGTAATTCATAAACATCCTGTCACCATATTCTGTCATTTGTTCTATCAGTTAAAAACAAGTTTCTGGTCCTTCCCACACTCTAGAGATTGGCAGTTATAATGAAGGCATGACCATCAGGAAACAGGGATAATGAAGCTACCTAAGTCTGCACACCACAGGCTAGTCTCTGACCTCTTTCTTCTCTTTCTGCAATTACTTCTTTATCTCATGGCTTTAAGTATTGTCAATGAGCGGACAACCCTCAGTTTAATATTTAGTGTTTGATTTAAAGTCTTTGGTTTTTTCCTTTAGTCTCCACTGGTATAGCCAGCTGCTTAATTTATATTGATCTTCTTGGATATGTCTGATAAACATCTCAGAATTCACACATCAAAAATCAAAATAACTTTCCCCCAAGAACCTGCTTTAACCATGGTCTCCACAAGTCTCACAAAACGGCCCCTTTATCCCTTCAGATCAAAAACCTTTATGTCATCCTTGACTCTTCCTATTTTCTCATACTTAACATTCAGTTTATCAAACCTTTAAAAATTTTGACATTTCTTGCTCTGTTCTGATCTAAAATATAGGCCACTTGATGGCTCTCTGGCAACTACTCCCATTCTAGTGGGAAGTAAACTGTTTTCCAACAGCTGACTCAGGTCCTGCTTCTAACAGGATGGACCACATGGAACCCCAAGACCACTATTCTCTGAATGCTATTTATGGAAACTCATACAACTTTTACAAATGTCAGATTAGTTTGTGTCACCTGTCGTTGCTCACCAAATAAGATTGCATTTGTCTTAATGAACCTTTTCATACTTGCTTCATGTCAAACATCAAGACAGATTAAAATAGGCAGTGACGCCACTCCTGACATACTCTTCCTATGAATTTTCTCCTTTGTGACCTGTGCTCTTTTCATCCTATGTTCTTTTTTACTTTCTCCCAGGTTCATTAAAATCTACTTCTGGGTAGGTTGGACTTACATTCACATATACTGTGGTCTAAAGTCATAAATAAATGTATCATTTTATCCAGGTGTATTTTCACTTTAAACCCTTGCATTTGTTATAGAATGGAGAATGTGTTCCTGTCAACAGGACTTAAGGCAGTATGATGGTGAATTTGATTTAGGGACAAAGAATTGAAAGGTCCATTTTTGTTTCCCTGAACTCAGTTGAAGAGGTAGCTGTCTAGTCTCCATACATATTGGGTTTTACCTTGGCTAGGAATCTCCTCTTTTAAGTTTGAACACTGATGGATGGTGATTCACAAAGGCAGCTGATAGGAAAAAGTGAATGATTTCAACTCCAGGGGTTGAAAATAGGTTATAAATTCCTTTGTCTTCATAGGAAGACAAATTTTGTGTCCTTTTACTTTTACATACTTGGTGATTCTTTCCTTTCCATGTTATTTCTTAAAGTTTATTTAACCAAGTATCACTTGTATAATTTTTAAAATTAAGAATTAAATTTTTTATTTTAATTTTTTTAAATGTATATAACATTTACTGTAGTTGGAGTAGCATATGACAGTTTTATCTGGTTAATATAGCCCATGCTTACCTTTTGCTTTTATTTCCTTGAAGCTTCTCTCTAATTTTCCAATTATTTTTTCAGGAATCTGAATCTTCAACTTTCTGAGAAGAACGTTTGAATTTCAGAGTTCCTACCAGGTAATGAGAAAATATAGAAAGGCCCATTACTGCTCATATGAGAATTTTACAATGAATGTCAATTTTAGATGAGAGATTCCCCCCTTTTTAATAGAAAAAAGCTAAAGATTTAATAGGAAATTTTGTAAAAAAAAAGAATTGACAGTGAGCCACTGTCACTTAAACACTCTTCACTATTGCAAATTAGTTCAGCTATAGAAAGAATATGTGATAGATGCCAATCTAAATAGACAAATGTTTCCAGAAATGTTGTTCTTGATAGACTAACTTGGTAGTCTTGACAATGAAAGCAGTTGGATGCAAAATAAACTGCATGTGTTGCCAGCAAACATTTTCAAAAGATAAGCACTTGTTGTAAGGTATTGTATGCTTAGAAAAAAAAAAATCTTTCATTTTGGCCAGCTGAGGCCACCACGTGTTTAAAAATGTCATACATCATTTAAGTGTTAAGAGCGCCCCCTGGTGTGATTGTATAATCATGTTTATAAGAAATGTGGGCATTGTTTTTAAGATCTGCTATTAGGTGGGGATGGACCTCTTTAAGCAAGGTTAGGTTGGATGGTATGGTATGCAACCAACTATTGAGAAATATGTATTTAATTTTACTTTTTGCCCTTATCCATGGTTATGTCTAGTCAGTGGTCAACTTGAAAGTAGAATTTGGAAATTTCTAATCCCAAAATATCTTCAGTTCAAGTTAATGACCAGTAAATATATCATTTAGTAACTGTGAGGTTTTATACTGAGATAAAATTTTGCAGGATAATCAAATTCTTTGGTAGTAATAACTTTTTAAGTGCCAAATTGTGAATAAATTTGTTTTTTTTTAAGCTCATGAACTTATTATGAGAATTCAGATATTTGTGTGGAAAAAAATCCAAATTTTGAGTTTTTTTAAATGGGAATTCAGATATTGTCTTTGTGTGAAAAAATCCAAATTTTGAGATTTTCTTCTTGTAAAAAATTTTCTTGTAAAAAATCCAATGTTTTTTCTTGTAATCTAGCATCTCCCATAGCTATAGAACTTGAAAATATAAACATCATAATTCATCCATGAATCATAAATAGAATTTCTTATTGATTCCCTGAAATCACCTCCATCCTTATAGAGTATTATAACTGGCATTTTGTCTTTATTTTAATTTTCAGTCTTTAGGATTAATTTAAACTAGCCTTGCAAAGGGAAAGTGTGCATGATATTCTAAACTACATTTCTGGAAATCTGATAATAGCAATATTATATACCGTCTCTTCTCCAGACTAAATTCTCTTGATTGTTTTAACTATTTCTAGTGGGTTCTGTGTGCTCAATTTGGTCATTTGTTGCATTATAATACTGAATTATTCTTGGCTTTCTTTTTCTTCTATAAGTTGTCTCTCTAATTCTGAAGCTGTACACTCAGGATGGTAGTTACATGAATGTCAGAGCATTTTAAAATAGATTAGTGAGATCGGGGGCGGAGCAACATGGCGGCGAGGAGACGCTGCGAGTAAGATCTCCCATTAAAAAAAGTTAATAGGGAGGAAAAGCGGCAGGTCCCAGTGAGAACTGGGACACGGAAGATAAACGGACGACTCCAGCAAACTGCCCGAAGAAGAAAGTTGCCATAAAAGAGGACGAGAAGGGAGGGAAGCGCAGAACCCTGCTCCCCTCCCCCGCCCACAGAGGCGGCACTCTCCGACCGGCAGAGAGGAGGAAACAACAAACCAAAACGGCCAACAAGAAAAACGGACACAGCAAGCGGGACTGTGAGTGGAAAGGAACTATTGCAGCCACCACACCCCGTGAACGGGAGCTGAGGCGAACCCTGCAGGATCCGCCGCGGAGGTGAGCTCCAGGCGCCATTAGAGAGCCCCGCCCCCCAGGAGGAGACCAGCACCAGCACACAGCCCCCGCCGCCCGGTAAGCTTGCGCGGAAAGTGGCGCGGATCCAGACCGGATCGCAGCTGCCCAGGTCCCCGCGCCTGCGACCTAGGCTTGCGGGGAGACGGCGGAGGCCCTCCCTGAGTGAGCAGGAACAAGGCGCCCAGGCAGGGGAGCGGGTTTCAAAAGGCGCCATTCCCGCGCCACTGATCTGGGCTACAGCCCGCGTCCTGGAACTGAGGGCTTTGGAACTGAGACCCGGGGCACGAAATTAGGGGCGTGGGTTCCCCACGACGGTGGGGCACAAGGCAGACACAGCACCCCAAAGCCGTTGAGGTGTACCCTACCATCCCCGCTCTGCTCCCTGTCCCACGGGGTGGAAAATCAGCTCCCCAAGGGCTCTAGGAGAGATCTCTGGCGCCACCTAGCGACTTGACCCCAGCACAGGCTATTGAAGGAGCTAGTGGCCAACTGGGGAGTTAGCCCACACCTGGCTCCTTCCGAACAAGTAGTCTGAGCCCACAGGGAGAGCGAGCACCCACAGCCGGGGCAGACCAGGCGCGCAGAAGAGTGTGCCTGAGACCAGACGCGCAGGGAGTGTGTCCCACATCACCATTTTAGAACAGGGACATTTCTTCAGTAAAGACTACCTGCAGAAGGCTTCCTCAGGAGCCAGAGGCTGCTTGAAACTGACAGATGACTCCTGGAAGAACCAGAGGGGAACAGAGAAGCCCACCCAAGATGCCGGCCAGTCCCAACAACACAGTGTCCCAACGCATACGGCAAATTAGAAAACAGACAGTAGGGAGGAGAAGAACCACACGCAACCTAGCAACTCTCCAGAGAAAAAGCACACCACAAAAAGAAAGCCAGCCCCCAGATTGCAAAGACAATAACTTGGAAGAATTTCTGAGCCTTCCAGAAAGAGAATTTAAAATTGCCGTGATTAAAAAACTGACAGAAGTCATAAAGGAAAACAATGATAAGGGAAAAATAATCAACGATCAGAAGAATGCAATTGAGTCCCTAGAGAGGGAAAACAATGGTCAGAAGAAAGAAATTGAGTCCCTAAAGAGGGAAGTAAAAGAAATGCAGGAGATCAAAGAATTAATGGAAGAACTAAAGAATTCTGGGAAAAGCAATGAAAGCAGAATAGATGAAATGGAAGAACGAATAAGTAATCTTGAAGACACAGAAATAAAAAGAACCAAAACAGAAAAGGAAAGAGAAGTACGAAGGAAAAAGAACGAAGAAAGACTTCGGGAACTATCTGACTCCATGAGGAAAGGAAATATAAGAGTTATAGGAATACCAGAAGGAGAGGAGAGAGATGTAGGAACAGAGAAAATATTCAAAGAGATAATTGAAGAGAACTTCCCAAATGTGAAGAAGGAGCTGAAAATTGATATACAAGAAGCAAGAAGAACACCAAACTTCCACGACGAAAGGAAAAATACAGCAAGACACATAATAGTAAAGCTCCCAAGAATCCAGGACAAGGAAAAAATAATGAAGCTGGCAAGAGGAAAGAAACAGATAACATTCAAAGGAAAACCAATCAGGCTGACATCAGACTTCTCCGAAGAAACACTACGGGCAAGGAGAGAGTGGAGGGACATAGTCAACAGACTCCAAGAAAACAGATGCCAACCAAGAATACTCTATCCCGCAAAGCTCTCCTTCCTCTTTGAAGAAAGAATATGGACCTTCCCAGACAAACAGAAACTCCGGAATTTCATTGCAACTAAACCCCCACTCCAAAAAATACTACAAGGAGTCCTAAAGCCAGAACCTCAGAGGGACGAATAACAATGAAAGAAGGCCAAAAAAAAAAAAAGTTATTAAAAGAATAAATAAATAAAATCAAAGGAAAGACAAACACAATGGCAAATACAGATGTTAACATATCAATATTAACTCTAAATGTAAATGGACTAAACTCTTCAATAAAAAGACACAGAGTGGCAGCCTGGATTAAGAAACAAAACCCAACCTTTTGCTGTCTCCAGGAAACACATTTAGCTACAAAAGATAAAAATAGGCTCAAAGTTAAAGGATGGAAACAATCCTACAAGCAAATGGACCAAAAAAGAAAGCAGGAACAGCTATACTTATATCAGATAAAACAGATTTCAAACTCAAAAAGATAAAAAGAGACCCCAATGGTCACTACATTATGATCAAGGGGACAATACTTCAAGAAGAAATAACACTCATTAACATATACTCACCAAACGAAGGAGCACCAAAATATATCAGACAACTGTTGTCCTCTCTGAAAACAGACATCAGAGAAAACACATACGTAGTGGGAGACTTCAACACACCACTATCAACAATGGATAGATCAACAAGACAAAAGATAAGTAAAGAAACCAAAGCTCTAAATAAGGACCTGGAGCAATTAGGCTTAACAGACATCTATAGAACACTAAACCCAAAAAAACGGAGTACACATTTTTCTCAAGCGCACACGGATCATTCTCCAGGATCGATCACATACTGGGGCACAAGACAAACATCAACAGATACACCAAGATTGAAATCATATCAACCATCTTTTCTGACCATGAAGGCATCAAACTAGAAATAAACATAAAAAGAAGGCAAGGAACTTTCCTACCTCATGGAGATTAAAAACCACACTACTGGAAGACCATTGGACTAATGAGGAGATCAAAGAAGAAATTAAAAAATTTTTTGAATTGAACGACAAGGAGGACACTAATATCCTAAATGTATGGGATGCAGCAAAAGCAGTAATAAGAGGAAAATATATAGCAATAGAAGCTCACATCAAGAAACAAGAAAGAACGCAAAGAAACAACCTCATCTCGAAGCTCAAAGATCTAGAAAAAGAACAACAAAAAAACCCCAAAACCAGTAGAAGAAAAGAAATAATAAAACCAAAGCAGAAATAAATGAAATTGAAACTAAAAAAACAATCCAAAAGATCAATGAAACAAGAGCTGGTTTTTTGAAAAAATCAATAAAATAGACAAACCCCTAGCCAGGCTCACAAAGGAAAAAAGGGAGAAAGCACAAATAAACAGGATCATCAATGAAAGAGGAGAAATCACAACGGACACAGCAGAAATCAAAAGAATAATCAGTAACTACTATGAACAGTTATATG